AATATCTATTTTTTTCGGTTTTCAATTTAAAATACAATAGATATTAAAGAATTAATTTTGATTTATAAAGATTATGATAAAAATTAAAATTTAAAATGTTGTATTTTCTAATTATTCGTATTATAAGTAAAATAAGCAAATAATAAATTTACAATATACTTTTTTAAAATTACATATTTTTAAAATATATGATTGTGTGATTTATTGCCAATTCAGGAGATAGATTTAGTATTTTCATTATATTTTTAATGCAGTTTTATTTAAACTTAAAGGTTATAATTAAAAATGACAATTTTATAGATTAAATTTAAATAAAAATAGATGAGGAAATTCAAATTGAGAATATATATCATTAGGCTATTAAAAAAAGTATGATCTGTAAAGCATAGTAAACCATATTCAACATTTAGATGTATAAAAAGCATATATTATTTATCTATATATTAATATTATATTTTTTATTTTTATATTAAGAATTTACATTTGTAGAAGATCAATTGGGGCTGCAATAATCCTTCTTTTTATGGAGCAAGATTAAGATATAGCAGCTATTTATTTGGATTTAGCTTTTCGAATATTAAAATCATTAATATGGAAGTATATTATGTAAATAGTTTTGGCTCATACTATTGAAAAAGCTTAAATAAATATTGAGTTATATTTCAAATTGAATAAAAAAAAATATAAAAAAATATTCAGTAATAAATGATAAAAATATTGATATTTCACATACATATGAAATTTTTAAATATTTTATTTAACATAAAATAAATTTATATTTATAATTAAAAGGGAACAGCTTGTAAGAAATAAATATTATAATATCAAAGGGGATTATAATGATATTAAAATGGATGCTTTATACTAAGAAGTTATGAATTTTTTCGAAAGAATGTCTAAAAAAAGATTATAAGTAAAATATTTTTATTAAATTAGTTTTATTAACTTTTTGTTATTTTATTTTTTTATTTCATAGAAAATAGTAGTAAAAAAATAATAATTAAAAAAGAATTTAAATTATTAAAAAAAAGACAAAAATGTTTAATATACATGATTTTTTTAATAGTATATATATAATTATTTCTAATCTTATAATTATATATTTTTTTATTAAATTTAAAGGTAATAATAATACATCATAAGATTAAGAACTATATTTAAAAGATATTTAAGAAAGAAAAAATATAAAGTGAAACTATTTATTATTGAAACTTTGTTGAATATTTAAACATTAATCAAAATATGAAAGAAATATTGAATTTTCTTTATTATTTAACTAAAATAAGTATATGACAATTCTATTTAAAACGATACTATAAATGCCAATACAGATATAAAACAAGTAAGAAAATAAGCAAAATGTAAATTTTAAGATATAGAACTATTCTTAATGAATAAAGAAGAAATCTCCTGTTAATTAAGATTTATATAATCTTAATAAAAAATATGATTTTAAACTTTTAAGATTATAAAAAAATAATTTTGATTGATTTCGTTTATCATAAAATAATTCTTATAGTTATTTACTTTATAAATTCTTTGCTAAAATTTCATTTTTGATTAAATTAAAAATTAAGTTTAATAAAATTAAAAAATATATTATTTATATATTATAAAAAACAAATCATTTATATGTTTATTTTAAGTTTATTTTTAATTAATTTATAAATTTAATTTTATTGACTTTATTTATTATTTATAGAATAAATATTTATTTTAATTTTTAAATTCTAAATTTATTTGAAAAAAATATATAATATTTGAAATAACTTAATCTAAATTCTAAAATTTGTAAATTTCCTAATTAAATAAAAATATATAAATTAAAAATAATTTTTTAACATATTATATAATATTAATTTTTACATTTATCAATTGTTGAATTAGAATATATCTTATTCTCTTAATTATTTATAATTTATTTATTTTAATTCAATTAAAATTAACAAGAAGATTATTTTAGTCCTTTACTCATAACTGTATTATAGTAGGAAAAATGTTTTAATTTGATATGTTAGCTTAAAGAACCTTCTGATCCATAATATTTTTGGCAAGGAGAACATGGACATTAATAATGTCTTTCAATTTAAAGAGCTTTTCTTCTAAATCTTCTTTTTTTTATTTCTAGATTAGATAATTATTTATATTGTTTCTCTAATTGAGAGATTTTAATTGTAAGATTGTTTTTCTCCTGTTGCAACAATTTTACCTTAATTTTTAGTAAAATAAAAAAATTATAAATAATTTAATAAATAATTACTTAGTTTAAAAGAATCATATTTTACATATAATAGTCAGATGATTCCGAAAAAAAAAATTATTCCTAATCTTCTTAATTTTTTTAATAAAAATAACTATTTAAACTAACTTTTTTTTATATACTTTTATTTTCATTAGTTGGAGGAATTCTTAAATCAGTAGAATGTAAAGAGTTATTAAATTTGTTTTATTATGTTTGAAATGATAAAATTTAGTTTTTTTAAATTTATTATTCATTATTAGATTATAAATTTTATATTAATTGATGTTACTTTTCATTAAATTAATTATTTTATGCAGAGTTATATCTCTTCATATTTATTGGAATAATGAGATTTTACTATTATTAATTATTATAATTATATTTTTAAATTATATATTATAATATTCTCGCTTTTATTGAATACAAATTAAATTATAAAATTTTAATTTTTTTATTTTCTAAAATAAAAATTTTTAATATTAATTATTAAATTTTTTATACATATTTTTTTTTGATATTATTATAATAATTTTTATACACAGTAGCTTTAAATATACTATTTTACTTTTTTAATATAATAAATTACATTATTTTGCTAAATTATATATTTTTTAATTTGAAATTTTTAGTCATAATCCACAAAATTTAATTCTATTTTATATTTTCTATATTATTTTTATTTTGCTTTGCTTTATGTATATATATATATATATTTTAATAATTTTTTAAGGCTAGAATTTTATTTTTTTTAAATTAATAATTATTTAAAAAAAAATAAAAAAATAATCATATCTTTATATATATTATTAAAAAAATATAATTTTTTAAACTTTTTCTTATATGAAATTTTTAAATATATTTTTATTTATAATAAGATGATAAAGCTATATTTTTTTTTAAAAAAAAAATGAATTATATTAATTATTAATTATTTTAATTGTATTTATAAAAATACAAAAATTATATGAAAATTACTAAATTAAATAAAATACATATTTATTTTTAATTGATTAATTACATTTTAATATTATACAATTATTTTATAATTTTCATATAATTCTAAAAATAACATTAAATTTATTATTAATAAATAAAATAATAGTAAAAGTATAATTATTACTAATAGTATAATTAAAATGATAAAAAAAATTATGAATATATATATTTGCATATTAAATTTTTTATTATTTAAAAAATATAATATATAGACTTTATAATAGATTACTTTTATTAAAATAAAATATTAACAAAAAAATTCTTAATTTTATATTATATATAATATTTTTTATTTTTAATGATATTAAAAATAATTTAAAAATATTTAATTTATATTAAATATAAAAACAATCACAATTTCGATAGTATACTATATATTTGTTTTATTTTATACGAAAATTATATAAAACAACTATGTAATATATAATTTAAAATAAAATTAGAAACTTTATATAACAATTTTCATCAAATACAACAAGCTTAAATAAATATAAATAAGCATTTCATGTAAAATTTTTAAAATAATTATAGAAAAAAATTCAAATTAATTTTATGTGAAATAATTAATGGATTTTTTTTGTTAAAATTAGCAAAATGATAACAATTAGCAGTACTCTAAAATCTATTAAAATTAATTTAATTTATATTTGCTAAAAATTAACTTCTTTAAATCTAATCAGTAACTTTTGTTTTTGTTACGAATACTTTTTATTATAAATATTAGATTTTTTTAATCGTTTTTATGAAAAAAAATGAACAAGAATCTTTAGTTAAATTTGAAAATAATATTTTATCAAAAATATACATTATGAATATATTAATTATATTTTTATTTTTAAAAAGGCTTATAATGTTCGTTAATTTAACATATTAACTTAACATATTTAAATAAATAATATTTCCTTATAAATATAGAATGATCAATTATAAAAATAAATAACTCTTATTATTTTTTTAGTAATTTTTAAATTAACTCAAATATATATAAATAATAACTAAGTTATTTAATTAAATATCAGTTATTTTTAATTTTTTTTTTTTAATAGTCTTCAATTTTTTTTTAAATAAATATTAAAATTATAAATTTAAAACATAAAAAAAAAAAAATATTTAGATTCGAATATTTATATTTTATAATTATGGAAAAAAATAAATATTTAATTAATTAAAATAATTTAGTTTATTTTTAGAAAATATATATATATATATATATATATATATATATATTATATATTTATTTTTTTATTAAAAAAAAACAGAATTTGATTTTAACTTAATTAAATTAATTATAATTTAAGAAACTATATATTTTTTTTAATAAAAATAAAATTGATTTTAACTTAATAATACAATATATTCTGATTTTAACTTAAATGTATTATGATTTTAACTTAAATATTAATTTCATAAAAAATTATAAATTAAAAATTAAATAAAAATATCTTAAAATTGAAACAATTGAATGAGAAACAAGTTTTTTTTAATTTTTATTAAAACTTATGTGATCCGAACATAAAATAATAAAGAAGTATTAAAATCTTATTTATTAGAATTTTAATCCAAATAATTTAAGTATTTTTTTAGAAATTAAAATTTTAGATTTTAAAATTATAGAAAATATAAATAATTTTATTTATACTTAATAAATGCGTTAAAAATATTAAAATTATATGATTATTTTTCAACTTTAAGTTAAATTAAAAAGAGCATTTAAAAGCACAATTGAATCTTAAAAAATAAAAAATAAATAAATAATTAAAAAATAAAAATATAAAAAAAATTAAGATGAGCAAATAATTATTATTAGGAGTTTTATTATTAGGTTTAGTATCTTTTTGTCTTGCTTAAGAAGCATCAGAATAATAAAAAATGACTTAATGTCATGCCTCTTGCCATTGTGATTAAACTGAAACTGAATGTGCTTAATGCAACATTTGCTCAAGATGTAGATAAGAAGAAGGAACTTAAATTGTTGCTGGTTCATACTGCTAATGTTTAACCCCTGAATGGAGATAAGTTTAAGGATCATGGGAATGTGAAAAAGTTAATGTTTCTGTTGATGTTCCATAATGTGAATGGTAACTTTTCAACTAAATTTACAATATGGTCGTACACTCCAAATGTAGTCTTGAAAAAAATTAAAATGGAAGCAATTTCATCTAAGATGTACTCTCTTATGATTGGAGAAGACTTTCAGTTGAAGTTTCTGAATAATGCTAATAATAATTAGTCACTAGAGTATTACATGCTTAAGATTGCACTAATTACTAACCCTTGAACTTATAATATGTTTATTAAGTTGACGGAACTCCCGCCACCGTTATTGTAATTCCTTTAATTGATGTTTATTAACTCACATCAAACACCTAATTAACTGAAGACGGAAGAACAATCTACTAAGTAATTTGTTTAGCTATTGAATTAGGACATTTAAGAAGAGTTATTAGAGAACATAGATTCTAAATCAGAGTATATACTAACAGAGATTAAGTCGAAGTTTTCCACTTAACAGTTACCAAATAAATTACTGAAGGTTGTGACAAAGGACAAGAATGTATTATTGTTGCCAACTTAGATACTAAGGGAGATATTTGTTTAACATCTGATTGTAGTAATTATCATCCTGCCGGATACGTACCCACTTACACTGTTGGTGATCATTTATATGTAAGAATATAATTCTTAGATAACACTTATACTAAATACTTACATGTTGAAAGTGTTAAATTTGTAGATGATGCTGGTATTTATGTCTATTAAAGAAATGTTTAATGGTGGACTCTTAGATAAGCTTTAGGATCTGTTGATGTTGATGTTTTATTATTCTAACCTCACGTCAATGCTCTTGTTGAAGTCGCTTTAAAAATTGCTCTTAATGCTGATGTATTAAGAGTTTTAGAAGAAAGATAAGAAACTGTTGCATAAAACTTCAAGGTTGAAGTCAAGGCTCGTGGTAAAAACTAAGAAAGTGAAAATAACAACTCTTTCTCTACCTAATTAGCTTGTGGATTTGTTTTAGCTGTTTTCGCTTTATTATTCTGAAAAAAATAAATTTACATTAAAAAATATAATTATCAAATTTATATTTTATTTCATTTATATTATTCGATTAATTATAATTTTTTATTTACAAAAATCTTATTATTTTATTTAAATTTATAAATATTTTTATTTTAAACTATTTAGATATAATAAAAAACTTAGTATAGATTATTAAAACAGCTTTGAAAGTTGTAATTTTTAAGATTAAAAAATCAAATTAATTATGTAAGATAAATTTAAACTAATCTAAACTTATTTAAAAAAATATTTAAGATAAATATGAAAAAATATCAATAATTATAGTTTATTGAAAAAAAATTTTTAATTTTAAATTATTTTTATATCATTTTTTATTATTTTTCATGTTTGTTTATAATTTTTAACTTATTAATATTGTATTGTTTAAAAAAATTATTAGATTTTTATAATTAATTTAAATTATTTATTATTATAATCTTTTAAAAAATTAAAATACATATTTAAAAAAAATTATGTTTTAATTTCAAGTATAATCTAAAAAAATATTTTTTTTGAAAATAATTATTTTAAACAATTTTGCATAAATAAGAATTGCTATTTTTTAATTTCTTTTTCTTTTATAAATTGATTTTCTATAATCTATTGATACAATGATTACGAATTTTGTTGTCTTTTTTTTTTGCTTATTAAAATATTATTTATTAAATATTTATTTTTTACTATTTTTAAAAAATCAAGAAACAAATAAAATGGTTTAAAATTTAAAAGTAAATTTTAATTTTAAAATACAAATTAATTATTCAGTAATATTTATTATAATTATTTCTTTATTTCATAAAAAAATTATATTTAAAAATATTATTTTTTTATAAATTTAAAATATTACTATATGTAAAAGGATTTATTATTTGAAATAAAATATTTTATTTAAATTTTTTTAATATTTATAAAAATTAAAGTTTTAAAAGAAATTCTAATTATATTAAATTTTTACTAATAAGAACTTATTAGAATATAAAACTATAAAAGAAGCAAAAATTAATATTAAAAAAATAATAAGTAAATTATTAAATAATATTTTTTATAAATTTTATTATATATTAATTTTATTTATATATATTTATATATTTATTTAACTATATATATTATAATAATATCCTTTTTCTTTTTTCTTTTTCTATTTTCTCCTCTCTTTACTTTATATAATTGCTTTTTTATTTATAAAAAAATTAAAAATTAAATAATGTTATCAAAAAAATACTTTTCAAATTTAGAAAAATTTCTAATAAAAAAAAATAAATAAAAAAAATGTAAGAATAAAAAAAAAATACATAAACTTTATCATCACTAGTTCCTTATTATCCATTATTATCTTTTTTCTTTTCTTTAGCAACGATATTCCAATCAAAAACATTGTCTCTTTCAAAACCTTCTTTAGCAAATCTATCTTTAAACAATTATTAACAATAATTATAATCAGGTTTTTCATCAAATCTAAGGTTTCTTGTATAAACTAAAAATTAAGCAAACTCATCAGGAAATCCTTTGCATAAAACTTCAATTGGGGTTGAAAGTTTTTTTTCCATAATTCTTTCATATTTATCTTTTTTATTATTTGCTTTTAAGTTTTACCATGGTAAAATTCCTCTTTTTTAATTGAAAAAATTATATAAAAATTAATATTTTATATATATATATATTATTATAAAATAATTAAAATTAATAAATAAATTAAATTAAAATTATATAAAATAAACATATACAATATTTTATTTAACATATTTTTTATGTTTTTTCTTTCCTTAAATTTAATTGTATATTTATAATTTATATATAAGTTAAAAAATAATATATATTACCTTAAGAAATACATCAACACATAACCAATAGCTTCTAAATCATCTCTTCTTCCTTATTCGATTCCTAAATGTGTATTAATACTTGCATATCTTGCAGTTCCGGTTAAATTTTTGTTATCTCTATAAGGAATATGCGTTCCATCTTTCTACTAATATTTTTTTGCCAATCCAAAATCAATCATAAATATTTTGTTAGCTCTTTTACCTTATCCAATAGCAAAATTATCAGGTTTAATATCTCTATGAAGGAAAAAACGAGAATGGACGAATTCTACTCTTTAAAGCGTTTATTCTGCAATCATTAAAACTGTTTTTAAACCAAATTTTCTATTGCAAAAATTAAACAAATCTTCTAAAGAAGGCCCTAGCAAATCCATTACCATTATATTATATTCTCCTTCTGTTGAACAATAATAAACCTATTTTTTTATTTAATTTTATTATTAAATTTATATTTTTAAAATAAAAAAAATAATTCATTTTTTTAAAAAAATAAAAGTATTATTAATGTTATTTTTTTTTATGTTTAATTTAAAAATATTTATTTTATATAAATTTGTTACTTGAGGAATTCCTTTATCCATAATACCATCTTCTTGTAATAAATATTAATAAACCTTTACTTCGTAAAATAATTAGGGATGTTTCGTATTTACAGGCTCTAACTTTATTGCAACTTCAACATTATTTTTTAAATTTATTCCATGAAATATTTAGCCAAAAGCTCCTTCTCCTAATTTTTTTGTTAATTTGAAAGATTTTCCTACCTTTATATCCATATTTTTTAAGCTTTTAAAGAAAAATAAGGCTTTTTAAATTTAACTTTATTCTATCTAATTTATAAAAAATTTATTTTTTTCTTAATATATATATATTTTTAAAATACGAGAAAACAAATAATAATAAAATAATTCATATAAAAAATATTTAATTCTTTTTATTTTATTTAATATTTTTTTTGATTTATTTATGTAATTTGTAAATATATAATAATGTTTAAATTTCACATATAATTATTAAATTATTGTTCCATTCTTTTAAATAATTAAATAAATTTATTTATTTTTTGTAATATTAAAAGAAGTATAAATATTTTTAAATAATATTTAAATTTTAAATATTAATAGTCAAAATTTCATAATTTTATTTGTTTTTATATTTTTAATTTTTATTTTTTATTTTTAAAATACAATTAATTAAATTTGAAATAAAATATTTTACTTAAAAAATAAACATAAATTAAATTTACATTAATTTTAATTTAAATTAGATTTTTAAAGTTTTATTTTTTAGGTAAAAATTATGATTATATAAAGATCCAAAGCTAATGTTTTTTTCTATTCAGAAAAATCATAATCAAAAAAGAAATAAATAAATGTTTTGTTCTTCTTTAATAGAAAAAAATAAAAAAATTATAATTTTTATGATTATAAATAAATATATATCTATTAGCAATTTAAATTAAAATTTATAAAAAAGATTTTAATAAATTTATATATACAATAAATATATAAATATAAAATTAATTATATGTTTTTAATAAATAATATAATTTATACATCTAATAAAAATATTATTTTTCTAATTACTATTTTTATTTAATTAAAAAAGTGTATAAATGGAACTTCCTAAAATTGAATTAATAATATCTTTCGATAGAGCAAATAGTACTTATAAACCAAACGTATAAATATAAATACAAATAATTTAAATTAATATTAAAAGGAATTTGTAACAGGAAAACTAAAAATAGAAAACAAAAATGAAGGTATTTTTTAAAGATTTGAATCATATGGAATTGTATTAAAGGCCGAGGGTTTATTTATTATGAAATTTTTATTATTTAAATTATTAATAAAAAAGGAACTTTATCAGCATAAAATAAAGCAAGTAATAAGGAATTAGATGTTATTGCATAAAATTTGCATCCTATAAAATTATTTAAACATGAATTGAAAATATTGGATAAAATTTAAATTATGTACTTATTGTTTATCAAAATTCAATAAAATTTATTTAAAATAAAAAGAGATCGTGAAAATAGTGAATTTTAATTTAAATTTAAATTATAAGCAGAAGAAGGAGAAAAATTAATTGAAACATATATAGGTGTATATGTTATAGTCGGAGTAATATTAAACTAAACAAAAATAAAATAAATAGTTAAAATAAATGTATATAGTATATAGCAAAGGTAGAATTAAAACTTCCAAATTAATAATCAATATCTGAAAGTCAAGCTTTTTATGTCCAAATAAATGTAATAATATATTAATAAATAAAATATAATTTAAATATTTCTATTTTTATTTTTTATAAACTAAAAAGTCTTCAGGGAGAGATATGATTCATACGAATAAATTCCCAAATCCCTAATAAATAAAAATTAATCCAGAAAAATTAAAATAAGGAAGCCTTTAGAATATGCCAACTATTAAATTAGCTGGATATATAGATTCAGATGTTTGCTTAATAAATAATGATTTTACAGGATAATTTTGTTTAGAAGTAAAATATTATATCCATTAAATTTAATTATATTTTTTTAGGAATGTGAAGGTAAAGTTCGAAGTATAGAATTATAATTAATAAGGGTAGAAAAAGTATAAAATGATAAAGGAAGCTTTTAAGAAGCAACTGAAATTTAACTTATTTAAATTTGTGAAGGAAATATTACTAGATAATTAGATATTCCTTTTTATATGATGTTCCCTAAATATTTTTCTTGTCCAAATTTCACATGGAGGGAATACACTGTAGAATTTGAAGTTAATTTCATTGTTATTCTACTAGATGGATTTAAAATCACTCTAAATTATCCTATAAAATTAATAAGAAATTGATATTAAATTAAAAAAAATTATTATTTTTTTAATATAATTAAAAAATATTTATAAAAATAAATAAATTTATGTATAGAAGATCTTATGCTAAACATAAAATCTAATTAGTTTAATTTTATTAGTAGTAATTTTAGAAAGGGTTTTAAATTTATTCAATTTTTAGTCTTGGTTTTTGTTTTTATCAATAATGAATTAAATTAAATTAAAATAATAAAATAAAATCTTCTTTTTCAAAAATTAGTTTGTGAATTTAATTTTAAATTAAAATTTATTATTTAAATTTTGTATAAACTAAAAATTATTAATTTTTTTTATTATTTCATAAACTTTCATATGATTAACATTATTAAAAATTATTAAAAATACAAAATATAAAAATATTTATAAGTTAATATTTTTTTAATATATATAAAATACAAATTAATTCAAATATATATAATAATATTGCTAAAAAATAAATAATTTACTAAAATATATATATTTAATACATAAATTAGATTAAAAGAGTTAATAAATAAATGAAATTAACTTACTTAAAAATAATTATAACTCAAAGTCATAAAGATTGATAATATTTTAAAGTAAATAACTTTTATTTTTATAAATTAAAAAAAAGTAAAATTATAAAAATATTAATTATTTATAATATTAAAATAAATTTATTTAAGAAGATGAAAAATTTTCATAAAAAAACTATATATTTAACCAAAAAAATAGAAATTTAATTATTTAATTGGAAGATAAGAAATTCTAGTAATTAAACTAAAAATCTATGCTAATAAAAATAGAAAATCAAAGAATTAGTATACATATAAAAAATTAAATCCTAAATTATGATTAATATAAAATAATAATATTACAAATTCTATAATGCAAATATATTATATTCTAATTTAATATAATAATATAACAAACATAAATAAATTTACTTTAATCATTTTAAAAAAATATAAATAATAATATATTTAAATAGTTAATTGAATCATTAAAAAATATTTGATAAATATTTTAGAATAAAAACATAAAAATATCATAAAATGAAAAAATATTATAAAAAAAAGATATAAATAAAAAAAATATTAAAAAAATTAAAAAACGATAAAAAAATAAAAAAATTATATATAAATAAAAAATATAAAAATAAAAAAATATATAATTATAAGTAAAGTAGTAATGAAAAATATAAAAAAGAAATGAAAAAATAAATAAAGAAAATTAAAAAAAAAATAATAAATAAATATAAAAATAAAATAAATATTTAATATAAAAAAAAATATTATTAAATAATATAATTTTTTAATTTTTTTTATATTATTATTTTTTTATTTTTTATTTAAAATATTTTTTTTTTTATTTTAAATTATTCATAATAAAAATATTAAAATAATTTTGATTATTCTATTTTAATTATTTTTTATTTTATTTTATTTTTTAAAATAAATATTTTCTATATATTATATCTTGAAGAAAATTTGTATTTTGTTCATTTACTATTTCATCTTCAGTTATAAATAGACTCTTCCTAAAAACTTAAAAAAAATACTAGATATATAAAATATAGTATGCTTTATATAAAAAAATATTAAGAATTAAAAAATCTTTTTTTAATAATTATTTATTAAAAATAAGATTCTATCATGAATATATATATATATATATATATATATATATATATATATATATATATATATATATATAGATAT